CCGAACGATCGTCCGTCGATGAAAGAGGTTGTTGCAATGTTGGAAGGAAGTGAGGAGAGTCTCGTGATTCCTCCGAACCCGTTTGCTGATAACGATGCTAGAAACTCGGTTCCGGGAAGCCGGCAGCAGCATCACCGGATAGAGTTGGCCGCCGTGCAAGAAACAGAGTATTTTAGTGCCTAAACTATGAAGTTTTGGCAACTCGGTTTTGGGGTCGTGTCAAGTTTACTACCGTATGTTTTGTTTAGTTCTTCACGAGTAAATAATTATATAAGTAATAATTATATATGAAAGATGAAGATATTTCGTTCTCTTAATATTGATCATTGGATCATTTAGTTTGATATAGACCCTCTAACGTGACAATTTTTCATCGGAGTATTTTTTTTGGAGGAATGGTTCGACTTTAGCATTTATCAATAATTATAAATTACGATGTGAGTAAATAAAATTGAATTATATTACAAATTAAGTATATGGGGTTACATACTTTCATGTTATATAATTTGCGCATATAGTTTATTGTAAACCAAAAGAATATACAAAATGTATGTTTAAAATATTAAAATTGATAGAGGATTTGTATTAATATTAACAGAAAAAAAAATAATTTTAATATAAAATATTGTTTTTTTAGCAACAAATATTCATTTAGCCGGTAAACAAATTAAGTCTTGTTTAAATAATAAAAGAAATATTATCTTTTCTTTTATTATTTTCTCTGTATTTATTTATAAAATATTACGGTTCTTTAGAATTTTACATTTGTATTAAATTTATAACAAAATTAGCCTAAAATTCCCCTATATATAATTTTCGAATGTCTTGAGCCAACGTGGCTGTTTCTGGTGCTTCAGAATTCTATTTAGCGAAGTATATAATTCTCGAATGCGTTGAGCCTACGTGGCTGCTTCTGGTGCTTCAGAATCCTATTTGGCGAAAAATCATGCTTCCCCTATATATAATTCCCGAATGCGTCGAGCCTACGTGGCTGCTTCTGGTGCTTCAGAATCCTATTTGGCGAAGAATCATGCTTCGTAATTAAATTTGGACAAATAATATTGATGTATTAATAATTAATAATCTAGGTTTGGACATTCCATAAATATTATTTAGTTAACTTAGGTATTTTAATATCACTTGTACTAATGTAACTTTTAATTCTTTGTAATTTTACATAGTGAGACACTAAGTGACTAATATATCCCTGACTTTTGATTTGTTTCCTTCAATTAACTATTGAATTATAAATGTATTTTAAAAATTAATAACTTTTGTATTTCTTATCGATTTTACATATATAATATATCAAATTAATCATCTTTTCATGATCTTCGATTTGACATCCATATTGTATATATAAAATAAATAAATTATATGTATCTTTATAATAATAAAAATAATAATATTTATTAAAATTTATAAGAAAAGTAAAATTATTTCTCGGTTGATATATTTATGTTTAATGTAGTTATATGTTGTAAGTTAAAAAAATTATTATAATATAACACAAGTAAGTCACACAAATAAAAAGTGTCATATTAAATATATAATAATATATACATTTTAATAAAAGGTATTTAAATTTATAACTACTTTTTCTCATTAATTTTAGATTTTAAAGAAAAAAAATTAGCAAGCACTCGTCTAATCGTTGTACTAGTAAAAACTATAAACCTCAAGATAAAGACTGAAAATTTATTATTTATTATATCTGAACCAGAAGGACCTGGATGAGTGGATTGTTCTGTCGTTTCCTCCATTTTTGCTTGCACGCCGTTCTCGCTTCTCCCCTGACCACCAGCTAATTCCTTCCCAAAAAGCTGCCTGTAATCCGAAATGGACCCAAGAACCGACAAGCTTGTGAGGAGGACGACAATGGTGGCCACCGTCACAGCTTCGTATTTTCTCCTCACCGCTGATTATGGCCCCGAACCCAGCTTTCTTGACCCCGTAAGTGTATCAGTGGACGTTATGTTCTTACTTTTTTTTCCTTAATTATTGGTGGGTTTTTGTTTAATTTGTTATGGATTGAGTTGATGCCTGTTCTAGGTTCAGAATCGTTTCCTCAGCTTCAATTTTGTTTTCCCTGTTTTGTATCACACGCTCTTGTAATTTCTTGCAGTTGATGTTTATGTGCGATTGATTTAGTGTGTGTATTTGGCTTTGGGGTGTTGTGATGAAGGGGTCAATATGCTGGCTTGGATACTGTTTGATGTCGATTGATTTGAATGGCAAAGAATTATTGTTTATTACTAAATATAAATTTGAGGGTAAATTGTGTTTATATATTGCCGCTAAGATCTGTGCATATTGAGGTGAAGTTGTTGGCCAGGGTGAGTTTTTGAAACAATGCTTCTCATGGATTAATAGACTTTTGCATGATATACTCATCTGAAAGGCAAGCTTTCCGAGTCTTCGCGAGTGCTTGCAATTGCTGCTAAAAATAAGTGGTTTCTTAGCTGATGGGTGAAACGGATAAGTAGATTATAGAAATGCATTGTCAACTTTTACTTTAATCACAAACTGAATACAGTGAGCGAGGCACTTTATGTTACACTTGCCCAAGACATGCTCGTGTATAAGATTATCAGTTGTATGCTTCTGTTTGAAATAGAGAAGTAATTTTTAAGTAAGTGTTTCGGTCGATGCGTGCTTAAGATTCATCAGAAACTTAGTTGGAATCTAAAATAAAGGGAGAGAGAGACTTCGAGATTTTGATTCCGCTTCTGATTTGATTTTAACAAATAATTTGGCACCCTTACGACCTTTTGCAGACCTTATGTTAAAATCGATACAACTTTTAGTATTGAAACTGTGGAAAATGGTAATTTTCTGATTGTTGTCTACTTCTAGCCTTGCTATCATATAAATCACTTCTTTTATCTTCATCCGTGGATCAATTAGATTTCTGCAATGGTTAAAGTCCCTTTTGAATTTGGAAACACCTAACAATATTAGTCTTCTTTAGATAATCGAAGAAATATTTTATCTGTTATTGTGAAGTAATTGTGCTCTCGAGATTGATAGGTCCAGTTTGTTCTTAGAACGGTATCCTCACATCTTGATTAATGGCATTTAGTTATGTAATTATGTTTATTGTGTGATTTAAGAAAATTGTTGTGGAATACAATCAACCATTGTAGAGTCATGTAGTTTGTTTGCTGTGTATATTATGGAAAATTTAATGTGTCATATGATCTAAACTTTGCGATTGTGTCTATTCTTGCAGCATTTCTTGTTTTTATCTATTTGTATACTGAATTAAAGCTCAACCATAATTTTGCCCCCTTTTGGATAATTAGTTGCGGGTATATAATGATTATCCATTGAAATTCTGCTGTATTGCCTCGCATTGCATTGAGCAGCTTAAGATGCATACTTTTTTGACGAAAACAAAATTGACATTTCGTGTCTCAAATTTATTATGCAGTATCGGCGTTTTTCGTTCTTGGTTCATCAAATTAATCTAATAATGTTTATGGTTACCTCTACAATTTCAGATAAGAAACGCCATATTATCAGCGGAACGGTCTGCAAAAGAGTTCATTTTCGGGCCAAAGAAACAAACTCCACAAGATGGAACGAGCAAGCTGCCTTCGAGTGATGTGGGGAAACATCCATAGTCTTATGCGACCCGCATCAGCAAGTTTAATTGTTGATACAATTCTCACAGTCACTTGTATCTATCTAGACCAAATAGTTTCTATAACCCATCAAAAACTGAAACTTTCTCTTTGTTCAGAAATCCTGCAGTTTGCACTGTAATTCTCTTCTCTCAGCAGTTAATGTGATCGGTACAAGCTTCTTTGCTTTTGTGCTTGATACAATTGGGTGTTATGCTAATGAAAGCATTTTTGCTAGTTTACTACTTTTGGAAACTTACCAAAAAGTTTACGTCGTGAGAGAATGCGCGTGCTCGCAAATTTTCAATTTCGGTCCTCTAAATTGACAAAAGTCTAAATTTAAAACGCTAATTTGACTCTCATAAAGAAGAGTTTGTTAACTCGCACAACTTTTCTCGCTTTCGTTATGCTAATCCCAATTGTCGGATTAGTTGCTGACGTGACGTGATTAATTTTGACGTCGCCTTCTTTACTTATTACATGAAAGTATAAGAAGTTTTCTGTGCAATTTCTAAATTGTAAGGGAAAAACCTGTAGTTTGTGACAAATGGACTGGAATTTGACACACATTACGTTAACAGGAACTTAGTAAAAGAGTAATTGGTAATTAATATAATAATTAATTAATAATCGTAAATATGTAGGTGGACAACTAATTTTATAGAGTAATGTGTATTAATTACTGAAATTTTAATGTACAATTATATGAAAATGCTAGTGAAAAAGGAGATAAAAATAAGATTGGTGAATCATATTATTTTCTATTGGTCATTGAAATAATTAATTAGAAAACATATTCAATCACACTAGCAGAATTTTCAGGGCACAAAAGTAATTCATAATCTTAAAACCACACCTTAGTTCTTATCAAATAACAAAATACAAAGCTCATTTAGCAACATTTTTAATGAACTTAGATTGATGGATAGTATTATTTTTATTGGTAACTGAAATAATTATTTAAAAAATATATTCCATCGCACCAGAAGAATTTCAGGGCACAAAATTAATTCTTATTTAACAACATTTTTAACATGTTGCATATTAAAATTGGCATGGTAAATAAAAGAATTATGAGAACTCCTCTTTTTTTTTTTTCAAACGATAGAATTTATAGATAGAAAAACGCATATATACAACTAGATACCAACTGGAATAAGAGTAGCTGTCTAGCTGAATCTAGGGATACTACCCTGCGGCGGGCGTCCCGAGACTACTCTAACTCACCCACAAGACACACAACTGAACAAACTAAACAAATCCCACAAGGGATAATTCAACTCCTATGAAACGAGGGTGGGAGAGTATAGAGTACGCAGACTATGTTAGAACACAAAAATTCTGTATTATGAAATTGTGTTGTAACACAGAAAAATAAATTTAAAAGTGAAAGCGATATAAAAAAATTATATATCTTCGGGGAGCGTGCGACTACCCCTCGGAGCTCTTTCATTGATAAATCGTTTTTGTGTCCCACAAAATACTCGACTCGGACTTTCTCCTAGTCTAGCCAACATTATACTCGATCATATCAACTACTTCATTGGCCACGTCACGTGGACTTTACACACTCAAATCCCTCGATCAAACCCAGTACTTAATCCCTAAGCATTCAAAAAGTATTTCTAAAAAGAAAAAGAAACTAAATAAACTCAGTTCATCAGCAATGTAAGAACACTGAAGTGTTGTGACGAACAAAATAAAAAGAATAAAAAAACTCTCAAACACTCAATTGAATATGATGAATGATGAACTCGATTATTGCAGCAGTTCCCTTGTCTTCAATTGATCGTTTGAGTAGGCTTAAATACAACATTCTTAAGGTAAGAAGTCTTTACAAGTTTTTCCTTTTCCTTTTAGAAATCAATTTTCTTCTCAATTGATTCCTTTTTTATTTGGACGAAATCCTTCATTTATAATAATTTTCCTTGATGTAGAATTCGTTTATGTGATTTGGAGATCAATTGAGCTTCCAATAGAAATCTTGTGTTCCCAGTCTGATGTAAGAACGCGACTTTCCTAAAATAGCCAATCTTCCAATTCTTCAAAGATCTTGTGGTGAATTTTTTCAAATCCTCCTTAGATCTTCTCTATAACGTCCGAAATTCCTTATGCACGAAATGTTCATCTTTTCTTTGTCGTTGCCACTTATTCTTTGTCCTAAAGAGAGAGAAAACTAATTATGGCATAAAATCAAATTAATTAAAGCATGTGGCATATATGGTAAGTAAATATATAAGATATATATTATGTAATCCTTCTTCTAAAGGATTAGGACTCCATAATACATATTATAATAAAAATATACCATATATCATTATAATAGATACTAGGAACTTAATTAATTCACAAATAAATAGAATTTTTTTTTTAATTTATTTTGTTCGTCTATCAAGAAAATTTTCTAAAAAAATACTTAGGTTTGTCGGACGATGTCAAACCAATATTCTTACATCCTACATAGTAGAATAACAACAAACGACAAGAAAAAAAACACCACAATACTACAACACAAAATAAACACATAGATAACATCAGAAACAAACACCAACAAAACAACACACAAACACGTATTATGTATAATAACACCCTCCTCTCCCCAAGCGAGACAATCCGAAAAACACCGTGGCCCGACACCCAGAGACAAACCGCCCACTCGGATAGGACTCCGGCTCGAGCACTGCTCCAGAAACTTCAGTGTAGTCACGGCTAGCTGAAGCAACACCAGACACCATAAATCTTCTCCCAGACAGATGCCTCTAGAGCTGAAACCGGAGGCCGGCCGACGACCTTCCCCCATTCCTCTCACCGACAGCACTCGTAGCCCCAACAACCCGATCAACCGCACAACCTACCAGCCTCTAAAGCCTCACGTCAACCTCCGGACCAAGCCCATCCCACCAAATCCCCATAAGCCCAATCACCCCGTCAACCTCTGAACCAAGCTCATCCCACCAAAGCCCCATCAGCCCAACCACCCCATCAAGCCTGAACCCAAACCAGAGATAGAGAGACAGAGAGGGTGGGGGGTCTTACCTCAACACTAACCCGCACCAAGAAGGCGGGTCGAAGTTCGAAAATTCCCTCGCTACAACTTGCCCGGCTCAAAAACCGAAAATTCCCTTGTTGTAACATAGGCACCAAAGCAGACCTGACGAGCTCTGCACCGGTGGGGTCTTCGGCTCCAAAAGAGGCGAGCATCGCGGCTAGCGGCGGCCGAAACCGAGTTGCACGGAGAGCCTTGTGGAGAAGAGGTGCGACGACAATGGACGTCTCTGCGAGGCCAGAGATTTGGGGGAGAAATATTTTAGATGGAGAAAAACAGGCACAGGAGAGTCCATTAAAACTCCTCTTCAGAATTATGAAATAAAACTTCAATCACATGCATAATTGCCAAACTACCTACCTATCCAAGCATCTCGCCTAACAAAAATTCCACTTTCCTCTCATTCACAAAAACACACTCTATGTCCATTTTACCACACACTAAAACCCTAAAATCATCTTGAATCCCCAAAAATGACAGCCCAAATTCGACACCCTGCAAATCTTTTTCCATCTTCTTCTTCATACTGCCCCGCCGATATCACCTCTGTAAGGACCGTCCTCAAATTTCGTCCCTCGCCCAAAATTTCCCACAAATTCTTCTGTTCATGCAAAGCTTCCCAAAACCCCCAAAACCCTAATCCGAATCAAGATTGGACCCTCCCATGGATTTTCCAAGCCATCCCAGATTGGGCCGACAGCGTTAAGGAAAGGGGCATGAAGCGAAAACGATCCTTGTACGGCCACGAGAACTGGGTTCAGCACAGAAGCTCCTCAAGGCACGTCCGGCATTTCATGTCGAGCTTGAGCTCGCGCGTGATTCTGTCTCTGGTCCCTCCCGTCATCTTCTTTACCTCGGTCTCGGCTGTAATCGCTGCTTATAACTCAGCTGTTTCGTTGGATTTGCTGCCCGAGTTTTTCCCTGTCCTGAGGGCTTCCTCTTTGCCCTATCAGCTGACGGCCCCTGCTTTGGCACTTCTGCTGGTTTTTAGGACGGAGGCCTCGTATTCGAGGTTCGAGGAAGGTAAAAAGGCTTGGACTAAGGTGATTGTGGGGGCTAATGACTTTGCTAGGCAAGTGCTTGCTAGTGTGGGGAGCCCGAACCCGAACGACGTGTCTCTTAAAAATGCAATCTTGAAGTATATCATGGCTTTCCCAGTCGCTCTCAAGGTATTGTGAATCGGGTTTTTTCTTTGGTGCGTTTTTCTATACATGTTTAGTTGGGTGATATGTTGATGGATTGATTATTGTTAATGTAGCTGGTTTTTGTAACAAATGACGATGTCCATCATACCATTTATGATAGTTAATTATTTAAATTGGGAAAAAGATTTGCTCTCTTAAGCTCGAAAAGTAATTAATTGGATGAGAATCCATTGCGGTAAGATAATCAAAATCAATTAATCGAATCAAAACAGGACATTTTGTCTTTCCCCTGGGGATGTCGATCAGATTAAGAAGACTGAAATTACGTCACGTTAGTTATTGATGTCTGTGAATTGTGATTAATTGATTATTTAGTTTTCTTTTATGGGCTAACTTGGTGTGTCACATTTAGGATGTCATAACATGAAGCTAGTCAATGGGTTATCTAAACATTGTGTTGTTTTATCACCAGGTGTAGAATCATTTTAGATGTTTGTCCTCAAATAAATTGTTTTAATGCAGTGCCACATCATTTATGGCTCAGATATTGCACGAGATCTCAAGAATCTTCTCGAAGTTGAGGATTTAGCGGTAGTTCTCAGCTCAAAACACCGTCCACGTTGCATAATTGAGTTCATCTCTCAAAGCCTTCACATGCTTGATCTGGAGCCTGCAAAGCTCAATATGCTGGTTAATCCCTCTCTATTATTAATTTTTTTTAGTCACACTTTAATTTAGGGTTTATTACACAAATCAACCCTATGTTTAACCATAATCACAAATAAAATCCATATAATTTTCAAATTACTGTAATGACGCCAATGGTTTTGTTAATATAAAAGAACTCCGATCTATAACTAGAAACCAAGGCTATGTTGGGTAGATAAGTAAGCTAGTTTATAGCTTATTTGGTTAGCTTATAAGCTCTCTGTATTCAAATAAGTTCCGTTTGGTAGGACGAGCTTTTTAAAAAGCTCGAGCTTATTTAATAAGCTTCTTTGGGTAGCTTTTCAAATAAACTCGTTGAAATTTTTATTTCAGCTAGCTTATCAGCTAATTTTATCAAACACTTTTTATCATATAAGCTATCTTTTCAGCTATAAGTCATAAACTATAAGTTATAAGCTCGAAAATTACTGATAAGCTTTAAGCTAGCTTATCAGCTAGTTTTACCAAACATAGCATAACAATATGTCCTTTGGGTATTACAAACACCCTCATCTTGATGGTCTGTTTACTTGTAGAATTGAAACAATTGTCAGGGGTCAATTGCAATTTCGAAACAAACTTGTGCCTTTTCTTGTTCAGTGGTGGGGCGATGGGTTAATTGTTCTAAAACTCCAGGGTACCTTTTGCAATTAAACCCTCTAAATGTACAATCTGGAGATGTATTGATGTTACGGAGTTTTTAACAATTGCAGGAATCGAAACTCGGTTGTTTTCATGAGGGAATCGGGGTGTGTGAACAGATATTAGGCACACCTATTCCTCTCTCGTATACTCGTTTGACCTCAAGATTCCTGGTCCTGTGGCATTTTACTCTTCCGATCATACTTTGGGATGAATGTCACTGGATTGTTGTTCCTGCTACATTTATTAGTGCTGCTTCTTTGTTCTGCATTGAGGAGGTAATTTTCTTGAAGTCTAATAATGCTATTTTACCGTGAATCGCCTTTTTAATATGCATTGCAATATCAGAACTGTTTTCCCAACTTTTTATTTCTTAGTGATAATTACTGACATCCGTGACCCGTGTAAGGTTGAGGTAAAATTGGGAAAAAGAAGAGGTTGCTTATATAGGGAGAAAATGTAATCCAAATTCCTAACGAGTTATCTGGTGTTCCAATTACTTCACGTGGAGTCGATTTTCATGTATTATATAGACACAAATACACATGATCAAGTCCAAGTCTTTGCTTGCAGGTAGGAGTGCTTATAGAAGAACCATTCCCGGTGCTTGCTCTTGACGAGCTTTGCCTTACGGTTAGGACCAATATCGAGGATGTTTTGAAAAACGAGAAGTTGATACAAGCTTGCTTGATCTCAAAAAGGAAAACTCTTTGTGATAAGCACTGTTCAAATGGCTGGCCAAGTTCTTTGGAAGATAGACAGCCTGGTTGAGAAAGAGGGTCTATTGGGTTTATTGGAGAAGATATGTTTTTGGGTTTACCCATGTATAGATATAAATAAAATATTATAGCTGTAAAAGTGAAAATATGTTTTAAGTCACTCAACAAGATTATGTATTTGTATATATGTGATGGTCTACCATGTTGTTGATCAAGGATTGATGATGGCCTTGTCAAATGCAAAATCACTTGCTTATAACTGTGCTATGAAACTCTTTTTCTTTTTCTTTTTATTTTCGAAAAAGGAAAAAGGAAAACAGTGCAATAGAACTCCAAAGATTTGTAGACCTTTTCAAGACCCTTAGGGGGTGAATGTATATAGATCGTACAGTAAAAATTCCAATCAAAACTCAAATTTAACTCAACTTTTAGTCAACTTCACTATGTTCAATATTACTAATATAATTAAATAATATCAACCAATTATTTTTACACATTACATATTTACATCAACTTTAGTTTACTATTCATCTATTCACATAATTTTAATTAACTATCACTTCCAAATTTTAATCATTTTCTTCTACTTTTACATCAAATAAACTTTAATTATTTTAATTTATAATATTATTTTAATATATCCACTAACAACTAACTATACCACTTTTTTTTTTTAAACTTAACTATAGTTAAAAAAAAACTAATTTTTCACTAGTTGAATTCATATGCAATCACCCTCTTAAGGCCTAGTTTGCTTTTCTTGTTTTGGAGGGATAGTTTACGTAATCCTTCCTCAATCCCTCAGTTGCTTTTATTGATTAAGGCCCCATGGATGGGATTATGTGGGATTTAGTGCTAATATTTTGGGATAAATGATTCCACCTAATTAAGATGATTAAGGGCTTGGTTGTTTATAAAATAACCAGTACGTATATTGTGCGATGCACGAGACAAAAATATTAAATAAGTTATTTTCACAGGTTTTGTCGGTTTACGTATGTAAAGCAATAGAGTTATCATATATGTTTACCTCTTTTAATCAGCGTTAACGGTAAATAACAATAAGGTTATAACCTATTTTGCATCTCTTTTAATCAACGTCGTTTTTTAGTCAAAACATTAAATATGAGTATGTTAGGGCTAACTTGTAAAATAATTAATATATTATCTCACTAACACATTTATACTAATATAAATTTGATTTTAGTATATATGTTTATTCCTTGATATACGAGAGAATAACAATTTTACTTATTCTTGTTCACCATATAATATTTAATTATTATTTTATTATAAACTTATTTTTCATATAACGTCATTATTATTTATAAAGTTATAGAAGTTGTACATCTTCTTTTTATTTTTATTTTATGTAATGAAAAATATTCAATGCACGTTAGTATTATTTATTCATGTAGTTAATTTAAAATATATAAATAAATTTAAAGCTAAATAGTGTGTAAATATTTTATAAAATATACATGTTTTTTTTTAAAATTTAATTTTGTATACTAATTAAGCAACTTTGATTTAGAAAATGTCAAAAACTCAATCCCTTATATGATCCAGATTTTTCTAATTCGCATTATAAGGATTTGTAGTTTATTTAACATACACTGCAATGAAAACATATTTTACAATAATTTAATTATAAAAAAAATCAAAATAAAAATGAAAAAAAAAATCATGGGTGCTAATAATATATAACTAAATTCTAAAAATAGTTGTATATTTCAACTTTAGTTTTTTATATTAGTAAAACTATTTCATGTATCTGCTCATTATCTTTTAAATGGTAAATTATATTAATTTGAAGAACAATTTACTTTCTATATTTAACCAAATAAAGCTTAAGAAAAAAATATATTAGCAAACATTAATTCATCAACTTGATTTTGTCTAATAACTTGGGAAAAAAAAAATTCTACCTAACATGTTACGACTTTCCATAAGTATTTTTGGATAAAAATGAATATTTGTGAAAAAAATTAATATTATGGTTAGAACTTAAAATACGGTGTAATATTTGTTTTGACCAAAATATATCAACATGGATCATGGAAATCAATCTTGCAATTTATTATAATTAAATATCAATGAAAGTATTGCAAATATTAATAAAATAATATTTATCTTGACCAAAATATTATCAACATGAATCACGGAAAATCAATCTTATAATTTATTATAATGAATATCAATGAATATATTTCAAATATTAACAAATTTATTTAATTAATTTTTGATCATATCTTATTTGATCTTATTTGAAAACGTGTATATGGAAGCAATTAATACATATATTTAAAAAGTTTCCAAAAATGGTTGTTTGGTATAAATTTGGGCATGTGGTAACCGAGTTACCCGAGTCGGGTCGTTCTCAAAGGAAGGCTCTTCGGAGCTTCGTTCACTATCTAGTCGTCAAAGTCACACAACCAAAAACGTCCTAAACATTCTACTCGCAAATTGGGGGTTGATTTAAACTAAGCTAATCGACGAAATTGAAATCGAAAGCAAGTAAAACACGCAAGAAAATTAGAGAGATCAAGGGGGAAAGAGAGATTTTGGTTCACCGGAGTCATCATGATCAAAAGCACGCAAAAATTCAACCATTGCCATGTTCGCTAAAAACCCTAGAAGGCTAAATCAAACTCTAGCATGAATCGAGCAAGAATTTAACTCCTATCACACTTAGTCAAACATTCATGATCCAAAGCAACAATCTTTTCTTCCAAAATCTCAAGCACAATATCAATTTACCAAAGCAAGAAAGATATACGAGGTAATGGGGCTTAAGACTAAGTTACCCACTCCAACATGCACTCGGGAGAAGAAACGGAATCAAAAGCTTGAAACTTCGCTCAAAACAATGTCGCCGGAAGTTCGCCGGAAAACTTGGTTCATAAAGCTCCAAACCAAAATATAAAAAAGGAAAAAGAGAAAATAGAGAGGAATTCCCAACTTAAAAGTTGGGAAATGAGGGTTGTCTTTTAAAATACAAAGCATAATGTCTTTTATAGCTACACCACAAACACACACTAAAACACACACATTAAATGATAAAAAAAAACTCGCTAGGTAGGTTGAACTCGCCGGATAGGTCTTCGATTTCGCAGGATAGTTTCGCTAGGAAGTGGAACTCGCCAAATACGTGAATTCGCAGGATAGAGGATGAAAACTCACCGGATAGCATAAGGAATTCTCCTTATTGAATTCTCTTCTTCCCGGTATGGCTTGGTCAGATTTTCCGGGTTGGATGGCTCGGTCGGCTCAGACGACTCGGACGGTACATCACAAATGACTATTTCTTCCTTCCGGCCCTACAAAACACCAAAACAA